TTTCAAGTAGCTGTTCCTGGGTGTGGGTGGAAATCTGATATTCTAGAGACTGTTCTTAGACCTCCTTCATGAGAAAATACTCACCATGTGCTTGCAGAGCGAATGGGATTGAGAGATGAGTGGAGATTGGGGATTCATTTTAAACTCCAGAAACTGTGAGTGTGCCACGGCTCTGGGCTGGTGCTGGTGCTGCTCAGAGCCGAGGGGTTTGTGTGAGAGCCTCACGCTGTGTCCCAGGGCTCTGGGCTGGTGCTGGTGCTCAGAGCTGAGGGGTTTGTGTGGGAGCCTCACGCTGTGTCCCAGGGCTCTGGGCTGGTGCTGGTGCTGCTCAGAGCCGAGGGGTTTGTGTGAGAGCCTCACGCTGTGTCCCAGGGCTCTGGGCTGGTGCTGGTGCTGCTCAGGGCCGAGGGGTTTGTGTGGGAGCCTCACGCTGTGTCCCAGGGCTCTGGGCTGGTGCTGGTGCTCAGGGCCGAGGGGTTTGTGTGAGAGCCTCACGCTGTGTCCCAGGGCTCTGGGCTGGTGCTGCTCAGGGCTGAGGGGTTTGTGTGAGAGCCTCACGCTGTGTCCCAGGGCTCTGGGCTGGTGCTGCTCCTGCTCAGGGCCGAGGGGTTTGTGTGAGAGCCTCACGCTGTGTCCCAGGGCTCTGGGCTGGTGCTGGTGCTGCTCAGGGCCGAGGGGTTTGTGTGAGAGCCTCACGCTGTGTCCCAGGGCTCTGGGCTGGTGCTCAGAGCCGAGGGGTTTGTGTGAGAGCCTCACGCTGTGTCCCAGGGCTCTGGGCTGGTGCTCAGAGCCGAGGGGTTTGTGTGAGAGCCTCACGCTGTGTCCCAGGGCTCTGGGCTGGTGCTGGTGCTGCTCAGAGCCGAGGGGTTTGTGTGAGAGCCTCACCCTGTGTCCCAGGGCTCTGGGCTGGTGCTCAGGGCCGAGGGGTTTGTGTGAGAGCCTCACCCTGTGTCCCAGGGCTCTGGGCTGGTGCTGCTCAGGGCCGAGGGGTTTGTGTGGGAGCCTCACGCTGTGTCCCAGGGCTCTGGGCTGGTGCTGCTCAGAGCCGAGGGGTTTGTGTGGGAGCCTCACCCTGTGTCCCATGGGACGCGTTTGGTGTCCCTGTGGGGCAGGATCAGTGCTGTGGCTTGGCTGGAGCCAGGGGAGGTGTCCTGGCCCCTCTGAAGGGCTCAGGAGGGGTTCAGGCCCCCCCAGCAGGGCTGTTCTGCTCTGCCCTCGGGGCTGGAGCTGGCAGGGACTGTTCTGGTGATCTCCTGTCAGGGCCAGACACAGCCACAGCACCTGGAGCAATCCCCCTTCACCCCAGGGTCTGCTCTGGCTTTGGGTGGCACAGGTTCCAGGGAACGGTTGGAATGTTGGTGTTGGTTACTCTGAGGGGCTCAGGCTGGGCAGGGCCCCTGCCCTTGGAACCCTCGTGTTCATCTTTAACCAGATGAGTTCAGTCAGCCTCCCCGTTTCTGACACACCCACTGTGCTGGGAGCATCTGTCCCGAAACAGGAGCTGCAGCTCCCTGGCTCTGGACTGTCCAGGTCCTGTCAGGATCCTCTGGGACCTCCTTGGCCAGGGCTTCAGGTGCTGTGCAGCCTGCTGGGACAGTGGGTGGGAGAACCCTGGCTTTGTGAGAGATCTTCATCCTCCTCCAGCCTCCTCATCACAGCCCAGGGCAGCTTGAGCCAGTCTGTGTGGAGCAAAGTCATTTTTAGAGGGAGCTTCTTGTAAAGAAGCCATAATGGTGTTCTTTGGCCTAAAAGCTGTGCAAAACCACCTTATTTAAAAAATCCACTCACTGTGCTGGCCCTGGGGAGCCAGGAGGGGCTGTTGGCTGGGCTTGTGCTGGGGACAGCTCTGCTCTGGGGCTGGGTTTCTTCTGGGGACATCCCTGTGCTGGGGACATCCCTGTGCTGGGGACATCCCTGTGCTGGGGACAGCTCTGCTCTGGGGCTGGGTTTCTTCTGGGGACATCCCTGTGCTGGGGACATCCCTGTGCTGGGGACAGCTCTGCTCTGGGGACATCCTTGTTCTGGGGATATCCTTGTTCTGGGCACATCCCTGTGCTGGGGACATCCCTGTGCTGGGGACAGCTCTGCTCTGGGGACATCCTTGTTCTGGGGACATCCCTGTGCTGGGGACATCCCTGTTCTGGGGACATCCCTGTGCTGGGGACATCCCTGTGCTGGGGACAGCTCTGCTCTGGGGACATCCCTGCTCTGGGGACATCCCTGTGCTGGGGACAGCTCTGCTCTGGGGACATCCTTGTTCTGGGGACATCCCTGTGCTGGGGACATCCCTGTTCTGGGGACATCCCTGTGCTGGGGACATCCCTGTGCTGGGGACAGCTCTGCTCTGGGGACATCCTTGTTCTGGGGACATCCTTGTTCTGGGCACATCCCTGTGCTGGGGACATCCCTGTGCTGGGGACATCCCTGTGCTGGGGACATCCTTGTTCTGGGGACATCCTTGTTCTGGGCACATCCCTGCTCTGGGGACATCCCTGCTCTGGGGACATCCCTGCTCTGGGGATATGTCCCAGAATGAGGCTGCTCCTGGCGTGCAGGGCTCAGGCAGTTCATCCCTGCTGGGATGTGAGGTGTGGGTTGGTGTGCCAGAACTGCAGCATTAAATTCCTCATCCTCTGGAGCTGAAGGCTCTGGATCTGCCTCCAGGTGTCCCTCTGTGAGTGGCTTTGAGCAAACACGTAATCCTGCAGATTGTGCAGTGCCACAGGTGTCCCTGACCTCTGGGGCTGTGCTGTTCCTCCTTGCTGGCAGTGCTGGGTGGGGATAGTTCTGGTTTCTTGTTTCATGGGCTTGCTTCTAGAAACTGGAACAGAGGAATTGGAGTTCAAGGAAAACCTGCCCAGTGCAGGAATGAAGGAGTGATAAGCCTTTGACCCCTGTAAAGTTCCAAACTAGTAATCCTGCTCACTGTGCTGGTCTTTAGCTGCCTGTTCCTGGATGCTGAGTCCTGCCTGGCTCTGGCTTGATGAAATCAGGAGTTTCCTGCTGGAAGGGGAGCTTTAGACTCCAGGAGTTTCTCTGTCTCCCCTGACCTTTCTTTTGGGCTCTGCTCCAGAAGTGAGATCCTCACCATTGTGGTGACTGCTCTGCCTCTTGCTAACAGGGAGTAAATCTTTTCTGGTCTTCCTCTTGGTTATTCCAGTGCTCTGCCACGTCAGGGCACTGTTTTCCTTGGGAGCTGGGGAAACTGCAGGTGCCAGGGCTGTCACCTGGGGTAAAGCTCTGAATACCTGCACAGTGTGTTCCCGGGGTGCTGAGTGTTCAGGGGGGTTTAAAGGTTCTCCCTCTTGAAAAGGAGCCTGGGTGTAGTTTGGAACCTTCTTTAGTGTGTATAGCTGACCCTGGAATCAAATACTACACACGCTGGTGTTGTGCAGGAGACAACTGCTGCTGAGCTTTTGGTGCCCTTTTCACATGAATGGGCAGAGAGAAGATCAGAAAAAGGAATTTTTCCCAGAACAAGGCATTCTGCTTCCTGTGCAGCGTCCCCACATTGAGAGCTGTGTGCTGCTCAGCAGATGGGTTCAGATGCTGTCCTCCCTCTGTCCCAAATGGCTTGTTGGGCACGAGTTAGACAGAAGATTGCAGGCAGCTGTGCTGTCCTGGTGCAGAGCGGGCCCTTGGTGCCCCTGCTCTCCATGCTGCATGCCTGAATGCCTTTCCCCTGCACCAGGGACAGCTGGTCCTGCTCTGGCTCAGAATGTCCCAGTGTCCCCTGGCCAGGGTGGCACCTGCAGCCTGCTGGCAGCTGTGCTGCTCCTGGCATCTGAGTGGCCCCTGAGGGAAAACCAGAGTGGAGAGCAGGGCTGCAGGAGGCAGAGAGGGGATTTCTGGGGAGTGGCTGCTCCAGTGTGCTCATACCTGCGCTTTGTTAGCCGTGTGCTGTACCCAGGTGAAGATTCCCAATAAATGCTGGTTCTGATGCCTCACGAATGGGTCTGTGTCTTTCCTTGTGAGCAGTGATGGACGAGGGGATGTTCTGTGTCTCTGGTGCCCCAGGGCTGTCATGGGTGTGTAAACATGAACAGTTAACCTGGGCAGTTGTCCCTGGGTGAGGTTCTGGCACTGCAGGGTGTGTGGGTTGGTGCCTTGCTGACCCTGGGTACCACCCAGCCTCCTCACCCTCCTCGTTCTTCCTGCAATTCCTGCTGTTTTGGTTTTCTTGTGATTTTCTCCTATGCTCTTGCTAACGAGTCCAATGACACTTCTAAGCTGCCAGTAGTTCTGTGAAGGTAAGAGATCTTCTGTTTTGTCTGTGTGAGTCCTAAGGCAAACCCGGCCTCCTGGTGGCTCCTGGCTGGAGAAGGGCAGGACAGCCTCTCCCTGCACTGCCTGGTCGTGCCAACGCAGAAACCAGCCAGGTCTTTGGAGCTCTGAGCCTTGAGCTGGAGTCAGGCTATGGAGTGGTTAACAACCATTTGTCTGGCAGTGGTTAAAAGGAATAGCTGCTACCAAAACAGCTGCTACCTAGGATTCACTGAAAGCTGTAAGCTGACCTTCAGTCAATGGGCCTGTTCTTTTGGCAGTTTTGGGGCATCCCCACAAGCAATTCCACACATCTGTGGGCTGCCCCACAGGAAGAGAGGCCAGGCCAAGCAGTAGATGTGCTTGGAGAGCAGCAGTGCAGGATGGAAGGACAGAACCTGTCTGTCTGCTGGAGCTTCCCTCGGGCAGCAGCGTTGGGAAGGGAAACTCTCTGTGCTGGTGGTGGTGTCAGGGGTGGGAGGGAGAGGAACGTGGTGGGACGGTGCTGAGGGTGCTGTGTGTGCCCATGCGTGTGTCAGACATCTCCCATCCTCTCAGCAGTGGTACCCGTGTTGCCAACGCTTCCTGGCATTGTGTTTTCATTGATTTGCCCTCCCTCTCCTGCCCATTCTCCATGCATGGTGGTGGTTTCCATCTGAGCAGCGTGACATTCCTTGCAGTGTGCCGTGCTGTGCCTGCTGAGCTGGCTCAGTAACTCCCTTCTCTTGTGTTTGTAGGTGTGCAGAGGGATCCAGGCCGGTTCCCAGAGCTCTGCAAAGGAGATCCTGGCGCTGATGGACTCACCTTGTACAAGGGCCAGCCCGAGATGCTGCAGGTGAAACAGCTCAACTCAGAGTCAGAGTACCTGGCCAGAGATGGTCCTTCAAGCAACAGCTCCTTCTACAGCAGCGAGGGAGAGGGGACAGACCACGAGGGAGACATCCTGGACTGCAGCGGCTCCAGGCCCTTACTGATGGACTCGGAGGAGGAGGAGGAGACGGGCAAGCCGTGCCCAGGGTTCCTGCAGCCCGTGCCCAGGCACGAGGCCTCCAGAGAGGATGCCCGGCCCCAGGCCAGGGCAGGGGAGCCGCTGTTCCCGGCCTTCCAGTCGCACAGCGGGGAGGTGTTCAACGAACCCGACGTGTTTGCCACGGCTCCCTTCCGCAGCTCCAGGAAGGTCCCCGACGAGGTGGATGTCTTTACCAAAGCTCCTTTTACCTGTAAGGGCAGCGCAGCTCTGCGGCACCCAGAGGAGGCAGACGTGTTTCTGAGGGCCCCTTTCACCAAGAAGAGGAGCGTGGAAGAGCCGGCCGCCCACAAGGAGCCGTTCTCAGCGCCGCTTTTCCTGGGCGCCGGGGGCGACGGCCGAGCTCAGCCCGCGTTCCCAGGCCCGGACCCGGCAGCGCACGGCCCCGTGGGCTCGCTGAGAGCTGCCCAGGCTCCTGCTGCCTTTGCTCAGCCGGGCGGCGTGCAGCCCTGCCCCGTCAGGGCCGGGGAGGCCCGGGAGGGCGGCCCGGCCAAGGCGGCGCTGCCGGAGCAGGGCGATGCCCTGGGCCCCGCGGCCAGCAAGCCCTTCCGTCCGCAGGCCCTGTCCAAGTACTCCCGGCACTACGGCCCCGAGGACGGGCCGGGGCTGGAGGCCCAGCCCATAGCCGCCTACAAGGTGGTGTCTCAGACCAACAGGCAGGCCATAGCGGGCTCCGTGCCCCTCGTCCCTCTGTCTGCCAGGACTACGGAGCTGCCCGGCGCCGATCCCTTCGCCTCGGCGCCCTTCCCTTCCAAAGCAGCCAAGCAGAAGCCTTGACGTGCTGGGGGCTGTGCTGCCTGCAGGAGCGCCTCGTGAGGGCCTCCCACCTCTTAGCTGGACTGAATGACATAGCAATATATACATATATATATATAAAGTAATTATTATTTTTGGTCAGAACTCTATTTGCAGTGATATATAGCTGAAGCATTTAAGTTATGTTTGTCCGAATGCCTGGCTCTCAGGATCCTCGTATCCTTTCCAGTTGCTTCTCACCTTCCTCCTCTCACTGTCTTCCCTCCATTTATTTCTTTTTTTTAGATGCTTTTCTCAAACCAGCAGTATTCCATATTTTCTGGTCCTGGGTGGAGAAATGCACTACTAGATGAATCGAAAGGTTTATTAATTACAGAGCGAGTCAAGCAGGACTTGCTAATGCTCTGGAAAGGACATGATTTCACAGGTGAAAGGGTTTTTGTGACTTTTGCTCTCAGAGACATTCCTGGTGCCCAGCTCTGGCTGTGCAGGTGGGCGCTGTGCCCACAGAGCCAGAGCCGTGCTGGGGTGTCTGGTGCCAGTCTGGCAGTGCTGGTGGAGCAGAGCCAGGGCAGGGCACAGCTTTGCTCCCCCAGCATGGGAACACCAGGCACTGCTGCTGCCATGGAAGGTGTCCTGAAGCCAGTGAAGCAATCAGGCTGTTTCTGTTGCTGGAAAATCAAAGGGTCGTGCAAACAATCAGGCAGAGCTTTCACTTTTACACTTGTATTTCCTGTCTGGTCTATACCAAAGTGTAGGACCTGGAAATCTGCTTATGGTGAAGGAGAAATGTGTATTTACAGTATTAAAAGTAGACCTTACGGGACATTTGTGATGTAAACAGCTCCATAACTGTCCTGATGTATGTACCTCACGTGGTGTGACTCAGCAGAGGCCACAGCCCCCTTAGACTGGTTTATACTGGCAGAGAGCTCTGCTCAAAGTCACTTCTGCCTATTGCTTTCCTGTTGGTTAAGGATGAACCTCAGCAGAATCCGTTTGCTCTCCTTCTGAAGGGTTGTTTTCTATCCCGTTCCCAAGAGCAGAACTGTGGTGACTGAGCATGGACTCAGCCTGGCACAGAAACTGAGGCGTTTATTAGGAAAGGCAAACTCATTTTTGTACCCTTCCACGAGACACAGTATTTCCTTAGATGGTAACTCTCACTGTGACACACATTGCCACTTCTGTCAGACCAAATCAGCTGTCAAAGGACTGGATGACTGTCGTGGTGTTGGTGCATAGTGGTGGCTGTGGGGCTCTCTGCCCTCCATCCCCACCTCCTGAAAACAGAAGTACTGTAGAGAACTTTCTGGGTTTCCCTTGAGATGTTACTTCAGCAAAGCTGACGCTTTTACTCTGTTTTGTTGTTAAGTTTTCTGTTTAAATATACACCCGAAAGGTGGTTTTAGTTTGAATTATGTGTTCCCCCAGGCCGGTTGTTGCTGGAATCAGTGAGAGACACAGAGAATGACTGTGACAGCAAACTGTGAATTCAAGGGCAGTGAGTGTGAGGGTCACGGGCACACTGAGCCAGGAGCTGCCCTTGAGCTCTGGGATGTGCTCAGAAGCTGCTGAAGGGAGGCCAGGCCTTGGTGCTGTGGGAGATGCTTTGCTCCTGTGGGAGCCACGGGGGTTCAAGGTGTTACCTCTGCTCGCTGGAGCTTCTCCTTCCTTCTCTTCATTTTTACTTGAAAAATTGCCTCTGAATAATTCAGTGCGGCTTCTGTCAGCGCCACGAGCTGATGCTGGGGAGCCTCAGCCTGTCCCTTCGTGCTGGGAAAGGGAAGGTGCACGGGGCTGGGCGGGCTCCTCTCCAGCCCTGCTGGGCCAGGGCAGGCTCCGTTTCCAGCTGGCATTTTGGCAGCTCCTCGCTCCTGCAGGCACTTTACACGAAGAGCAGGCTGTGACTGTGCCCCAGAGCTCACCATCCTGCCAGACACATCCAGGCCTTAAACGGTTTGAAATCTCTTCTGGGGCTGGAGGCAGCTCGTTTGTATCTCTGCATGTGGCTCATAAGGTAATGGGGCTTCTGGTTATGGCCAGAAAACTCCATTTCAATGCCTCTTACTCTAATACCGTTCTCATTTCCAGCCTGTGTTCCTCCTCATCCTGCACTACCACTGCTGCAGCCTCAGCGTGATGAGTTGTAAGTGGAAATTTAATTTCCATAGCATCTGAAGCTCACTGTTTTAATGAATGTGGAAGGATCATGCTAATTATTTGCCACACAATCAGTGATCTTAATGAAGTGAGACTTATACAGACTCAATGGGGTGTTTTGAATCAGTTTTATGAAAAGAACCACTGGTTTCTGTGTGTAACACTGTAGTAAAAGGTGTTCACTGCCCTGGGTCCTCTGGTTATCACGCCCCTGTGACAATCCCGGATTCCTGCTGGGAGAGGGATGGCTCCTGGCTCTCACCCACCGAATGCACTAGAGTCTCTGTTCAAAGTGATTAATCAGAGTTTCTGCATGAGTAAAGCGAGCAGCTGGCTCTGTGCTCGCTGCCCTGACTGCTGCAGGACTCTGGGGGCTGTCCCTGTGTCCCTCTCTGCTGTCACCCCGTGTGACACAGCACACAGCAGCAAAACCGGGTGAGATCTCCTTGATTGCTGAACTCAATCACTCCAAAGTGCTAATCGGTTACTTTAACTCAGCTTCCACCAAAGACTCTTGTGTTGGGGAGTTGAATTTTTGTGGGTTTTTGTTCCTTTCCTCACAGTGTTAAATCAATGCCTTGGAGCACACTGACAGACCCCAAAGCACTTTTACAGTAGTACCATGACACTGAAACCCTGCTCCAGTTCTGAAACACATTCCTGAAACCTGATCAGCTGCATTAGCATTCCTAGAAATAACCCCTAGCCTGTGGTTTCTGCTGTGGGTGGGCGAATACCCTCACACACACCCAGAAATCCCCGTGTGCAGTCAGAGGGATAAATAAGGCTGATCAGCGTTCCTGATCCCTCGCCTCCAAAGGGACGGGCTGGGAGGGCAGGGGGCTCGCTCTGGTGTGGGATGCAGCTGGTGGAGCATCCCGAACACCGAGTCTGGCTTTGGGAAAACTCCTCTGTGCCCAGGAGGAGCTGGGGGTGTCCGTGGTCCCCACAGTGACCCACAGTGAGACACTCGTGTCCCCCAGTCCCCTCTGTTCCCCCCATGCCTGGCAGATCCCCGGGCTCAAGTTTTGCACTCCGGTTGGGATCGTCTGTTCCTGGTAATCATGAAGAAATGTTCCACTTGTAAACTTATGTACATTTTATTAAAACTATATCTATGACAAGCACCGTCTCCATTGTGCCTTCCTTCTCCCCTCCCCTTGGAAAATATTTCTGCTGGACACAGGGAATCTGGGTTTTAATGAGTTCTTCCTACCTAAGTGCTGAACTGGGTTTGGATGTTTAATCTGGCAGCTCTGAAGTCAAGCTGATCTTGCTGCTTTAAGCAGAGGATATTTCAGTTTATATTCCAGAGAGAACGCTTCCTATGCAGGGCAGGACAAGGCCCTGAGCCCTCACAGTGTGCTGGTAAAACTTGTTTTTCAGTATCATTCAGCTGCCAAGACTCTCTTAAGTGCAAAATATTAATTGGGCTTTGCTGCACTTGTTAATTTAATTTCTCTCTTGATGTAAATGTCCACTGAGAGAGATTTTGTGCTGTGTTCTGGCTCTGCACAGCTCCTGGCAGGAGGGGACAGGAGAGGGAACGGGTTCAGGCTGGGCCAGAGAGGCTCAGGCTGGAAATCGGGAAAATTCCTTCCTGGAAATCAGGAAAATTCCTTCCTGGAAAGGGCTGCCCACCCTGGCACAGGCTGCCCCGCGCAGTGCTGCAGTCGCCATGCCCCACCTGGGGGGATTTAAGAGCCCTGTGTGTGTGGCACTCGGGCACAGCGTCCGTGGCAGCCCCGGCCGTGCCGGGAGCGGCGCTCGGTGGTGCCGGCAGTCCCGGTCGGAGCCCGTTCCCTCACGCTCGCCGCCGCCACGGCCGCTGTCCGTGGCAGCCCCGGCCGTGCCGGGAGCGGCGCTCGGTGGTCCCGGCAGTCCCGGTCGGAGCCCGTTCCCTCACGCTCGCCGCCGCCACGGCCGCTGTCTCCCTCAGGCGCAGCCGCCAGGGGGCGCCGCGGTGCCCGCGCGGCCGCGGGGAGCGCCAAGATGGCGGCGGCGCGGCGGCTCTGCGCGGCGGCCGGGCTGGGCGGGCGGTAGGTCACCGCGGGGCCCGCGGCTGCCGCTGCCCCGGCGCGGCTTTTTCCCGGAGGGAGCTCGGTTTATTCCCGGAGGGGACCCCTCTCGCCCCTTCCCCACGCGACTGAAAAGGGCCCGCGTCGCAGTTAGCGGCGCTGCGACCTCCAGGGCCGCCCCGGGTGCTCCTTGCTCTTCCCCTTCCTTTCTCCACCGCGGACGGGGGTGACGCTTCTTCCTGGCAGGCAGCGAGAGGCTGGTTTTCGTTCTCAGCCTTTTGCAGCCGCGAGCTGGTAGTTCTGCAGCTCTTGGGTGCTCGGCCTGTACACCCGGGGAGAACCGTGAGGGGAAATTCCCCTCGCACCCGCCCAGGATCCTGCACTGAGGGGTAATTCCACACTCACATCCTGCACCGAGGGGTAATTCCACACACACACGGCTCAGGATCCTGCTCTGAGGGGTAATTCCACACTCACATCCTGCACCGAGGGGTAATTCCACACACACCCGGCTCAGGATCCTGCTCTGATGGGTAATTCCCCTCACACCCGCTCAGAACCCTGCTCCGAGGGCCAATTTCCCCCACACATCCTGCACCGAGGGGTAATTCCACACACATACGGCTCAGGATCCTGCTCTGAGGGGTAATTCCCCTCACACCCGCTCAGAACCCTGCTCCGAGAGCCAATTTCCCCCACACATCCTGCACCGAGGGGTAATTCCCCTCACACTCGGGACACTGCAGCCGGCTGTAATTCCCCTCACACTCGGGACACTGCAGCCGGCTGCAATTCCCCTCACACTCGGGACACTGCAGCCGGCTGCAATTCCCCTCACATGTGCTCAGGGTGCTGCAATGAGCGATAATTCTGCACCCCACGTGTGCACAGGATCAGGCAATGAGGAGCTGTTACACCCTTCCCGCTCCTGTATGTTCAGGGTTGTGAAATAAGAGGAAATTCCTCCCCTACAGTTGGCTCAAGATCAAGCAGTGAGGGGGGATTTGGAGGACCCTGGGCACTATAAAATGGGATATAATCATCATTAGCTAAAGGGAGTTTCCAGGGCACCTTCCTTATACATCCTGTTGTGGTTTCTGCCTGCTCCCAAGCCCACAAAAAAAGCAAATAATGCAGCTTAGACCTTTTCTGTGTTCCTGTGTTCTGCACTCACAGTAGGGATGTTCATTTCATGAGACAGAGCTTCTTTGGGACAGTGGAAATGTGGAATTTGGAAATTGTTAGTAAAGGTATTTTTCTCTAGGTTCTGTCACATGCTGTTAAAAGGTCATAATCTGACAACTCGCCAGCCTTTCCACCAACTCCTGCAGAAGAAACCATCTCTTCCATCTGCAGCATGGCATCGTGCAGGTAAATACCAGTTAAATATGAACAGATGAGCACATTGTGTGGTTTTATGTCCCGTGGTAATGCTGAAAGTTTGCTTTTTAGTAAATAAACGTTAGCAAAAGAAGCTGGGCCAAGGTTCCTTTATTCCTGCTGTCTCCTGTGAGATGATGTGCCCGTGTTCAGCAGTGCTCCCATGGGCTGGGATCACCCTGGGCTGGCTGAGTAATCAGGACTTGACTTCCATTTAAGCCCCTTAGGTTTCATTATGTTACTTTTCGTATTTGTTTTTGTCTTTGCAGTGAGAGGCATGTTTATTCAAACCCAGGACACACCAAATCCAAACAGCTTGAAGTTTATTCCAGGAAGGGAAGTGCTGGGGTCGAGGACTATGGAGTTTTCCACACCAGCTGCAGCCTATTGCTCACCTTTAGCAAGGTATTATTATTCCCTTTTAAACAGGAACCATGTTGTTAATTGTTAAAATTAAAGCTCAGTTTGTAAATCTGGGACAAACATTTTTGCCCTTTCCCCCCCCCCCCCCTTGTGTCCTTAACAGACAGTTATTCCGGATTGAAGGAGTGAAAAGTGTTTTCTTTGGGCCAGACTTCATCACAATCACCAAGGTAAGCAGAGCAGGGATTCAGCTGAGATGAGCTGTGTGGAGTGGCCACAGAGCAGATCCAGACAGGCACAGTGGAGCTCCAGAGGAGTGTCCATGAGTGCCTTTAATATAAAACAAAATAAGTTCAGGGAATGATAAATTGGTTAGTTGACAATCTTGAGTCTCTGAAAGAGTTGATAAAAATATCTGTCAAATAATAACATATTTTGGAGAGTTTCATACCTTCTTAGCTAATACTTTAAAAGCACTTGCTTAGTTTGCAGACAAGGAGAGCCTTCTTTGGCTGTCACAGTCTGAGTCTGACTAAACGTCTGTGGCAAAGCTGGACTTGAGAGAACATAAATCCAGTGTGTGCATCAGCTGGGAGAGTCCATGGTGGCATTTTTAGTGTGAGAATCTCTGGGAATGCAGCAGCAGCAGGCACGTTCTCCTCTTCATTCTTTTTCTGGTTCTCACAGGAGAGTGAAGACCTGGATTGGAACTTACTGAAACCAGATATTTATGCAACCATAATGGATTTCTTTGCCTCTGGCTTGCCTGTAGTCACTGATGAGGCACCCAGGACAGACACAGGTAAATCAAATCTTCAGGGGGAAGCCGAGTCTGCCTTTGGGTTCAGCTGTTGTGACATCCGGGAGAGCCTCCACTTCTCCCTCAGAAAAGCGAGCAGGAGAATTTAAATTTAAAACCTGTTAAAGTGACTGCAGGCAGGAATTTGCAGCCTGGAATTCTCTCAGTGTTCTGACTTGCACATTTTTCTTTTCCCAAGCTGCTTCAGAAGAAGATGATGAAGTTGTGCTGATGATTAAGGAGCTGCTGGATACAAGAATCAGGTACTTTATACTCCAAAGGAAAATCCTGGCCCTCAGTGGATTTTGGCCTTGCGCTCTGCTGTGATTTCATTGGTGCTTTAACACAGCTTGAATTCAGAAGCTGGTGCTGGCTAATGAAGTCTCAAGAGTGACTGTGGATCCTGTTGTTTACCTGAGGAGTATTTTGGTGCTCATTAATTGCCTGCCAAAGCAAACTGAAAGCAAAAGCAACTTGACATTTGAGGTGCAGGGAAGATGTCTATGTGTCTGTGATATCTGATGGTGACATCTTCCCTGGCTCACAAACTGCAGCAACCAGAAACTTAACTTTTTTTTTTTCCCCCCTATCTTTTTTTTTTTTTTTTAGCAGCTGCATAAACTGATATCACCGAATTTAAAAAATTGTTTATCTCAGAGCAGACACACAGTGCTGGTAAATTTTCCTGACAAAGCAAGAAAAGTAGAAATAAGCTGGAACATCTTTCCCAAACATTTGCACTAAGTGTTGAAACCAGAAGCTTTCTAGCAGGGTATTCTCAGAAATTATCCATCAACCAGGCTACACATAGAGCATTTATTGTCCAGCAGATCAAAACTAAATGCAGAAGAGCTGTCAGAAGGTGCAGGATGGGGGGGAATGTACATCTGAAAGGTCCTGTAGCGTGTCAAAAAGTTAATTCAAGTAAGAAAAATGGAATTTTACATCACGATCTTTGGCTTTCTGGAATGGAGATAATTTGCTGTGGTGAGTTTATAAATGTGTCAGGCTCACAGATTTTTCTGTGAGGACTGTAGCTCTCAGAGAGTTATTTTGGAAATCAGTATAAAGAGCTTCTGTTAGAGTAACTTGATGGTTTTTAACTTGGTCTGGAAAAATGTTGCTATGGGGACAGAGCTACAATGCTGGGCATTTGTGGCTGGCAGAGGGGGAGCAGGGCTGCAGAAATGCTCGTGGCTCTGGGGTGAGCTTATCAGGAGCTGCTTCCTTCACCCTGGGCAGGGTTAACCTTTTGGAGTCGGGCTGTTTTCTGTCCTGAATAAATTGTGGAGAACTGCATGTTTACTTATGGAAGCAGGGCTTCTTGTCACAGGTGACAGCTGTGCTGCACCCTGGGGGGACACACCCTGAGGTGTTTATTGGCAGCACCTGGGGCAGCCATTGCCTCCAGGTGTTCCTCTATACCCTGAAATCTCCAGGCAAGGCTGAGCTCTGCCCCAGGGTGTTCCCTCTATACCCTAAAATCCCAATGCCTACAGAAAAGGTTTCTGTGTTAGATAGTCCAGCCCAGCAGTTGTTGTTGGCAGTGTGAACCAAGTGGTTGTAGAGAAATAGTGACTGAACCCCTCTGTCTCCACCGTTACTGTGAATATTAAATATTGCTTTCCTGAGGGGTTCTGGCAGGACCCCTGTTTCAGCTCTGAGTTGAAGGTGAGTGCTGTGTTCCCTCAGGCCCACGGTGCAGGAGGATGGTGGGGATGTCATTTACAAGGGCTTTGAGGATGGCATTGTGCAGCTGAAGCTGCAGGGCTCCTGCACCAGCTGCCCCAGCTCCATCATCACCCTCAAGAGCGGGATACAGAACATGCTGCAGTTCTACATCCCCGAGGTGGAAGGCGTTGAGCAGGTGGGTTGGGAGACATCACTGAGGTTTTCTTTTCAGTGAAAAATGAGCTCTTTGTCCCTTTCCAGCAAGGGTAAAGAGCTCCTTTTAGGGAAAACCAGGCGTGTGTGATGCAGGTTTTCCAAGCCAGCTGGAGAGCCCAGAGCTGGACACACTTGCTGACACCTTTCTGCTTTGGTGACTTGATGTGATAAAAAGCAAGGAGCTTTGTCCCCTGAAATGCAGATTCTTTGGGTTTCTCATGAAATATCTGATCTCTGGAGCCATTGTTTCGTGGCCTTTGTGGTAGCTTGACCAGCTCCTGTAATTAAAGCTCATTTCCTCCTGGCATTTTGGATTGCCAGTTTTCCTTACCTTCCTCCTGAGCCCGATGTTCAGTGGTGTGGAATAACTGCTGTTCTCCTTGGGCCCAGCAGGGATTTAATGTAATAAATCCTGCAGGACTGAGAGCTTAACCTGTTTATCTAAAGCATTGCTGGGTTTGATTTCAGGTTTTTGACGACGATGATGACGTGGAGAAAGAAGCAAATTCTACTTGAGCTTCGTCACCTGTGGCCAAATAAACATTTACCTCCTGCTGTACGTAAAGCATCTTTGTGCTGAGGAGCAACCAGATCTGCCTTGTCAGAAAAACAGTTGTAGCTACTGTGAGAGTGCACCATCAGTTCAAGCAGTTCACCCACTAATTTATTAAATGCCCTGGATTACAAAAAGATTCTTCTGCTATGTCTTTAGAAAGAAATGGTGGGCTCAGAAAACAGTGATGTGGTTTTTTTTGTTTTTTCACACAGAAACTTCAGTACTGAAAGAAAGAGAAGGCAGAAGATCCTTGGCTTTTTTTGTGCAGTAGCAATATTAAATGTTTATTCCCCCAACTTGTGGGACTGACAGGACTGGCTGCCCTTACTCTGTAAATGGGAGCTTCAGGAATGTTCATTTTATCAAGTCTTGTTAAAAAGCTGCTGATTCCTATCAAACTTTTTTTGTGTGAAAGATAACCTGTAATATCAGCTGTTCATTTTGGGGGCTGTAACACTGCCATGGCTTTGTGAAGTTACCTCCTTGCTCATTACCACTGTGCAAAACCCTAGCAACAGAAACAAAAAAGGTTTGTTATAAAAATCATACCTTCTAAAGCAAATGTTAGAAAAGAATGATCCTTATCAGCTTCAGCAGGAAGACTAATGAGCTCGTTTAGCAGTAAAATCGTTCAGCCAGCGTGCAGCAGCTGATTCCCCAGCACGGGGGAAGGAGGGCCCGTGTTTGTGCTGCTCCTGCCACATCCTGTTTGTCCTGGACGTGGCAGAGCAGGCTCCTGCAGTCCTGCACACGTGGCAGGGCAGTGTTTGCTGTTCTGACGTTGGAACACATCAGTGGGGCTGTGCAAGGAGCTCTGTTTGCTCTGTGTGTGGGGGAATGGTTTGTTCCTGGTGCCTGGCTCTGTGACCAGGAACTCTGGTCCTCCTCTGTGCTGCCACCACTGCTGAGGTTGTGCTCCTCGTTTGGCTTAGGATTGCCTTGAGAGCCTCTGGTGTGTTCTCCTCCTTCCTCCCTTCCCAGGGTAATTATTCCACTGATAAATCCCTAAACAGGATCAGTTCAGCTGGTGGAGAATCTCCTCTAGAGCACCGCATCAGCATGTGGTAACTGTAAACTACCTATTGCTTGGGAGAGATTTGAAAATAAATATTTTAGCTAAATAAGCCAAATATTTCCTCAGCTTTCAGTAATCACCCGCAGTTGTTTGACTCTGGCAATCGGTGTGAAATGACCATGTTTTCTTTGAGTCTCTGGTGAACTGCTCGGGGGTATTGGTGACAGAATTCCCTGCTGCAGGGCAGGGAAGGTGGACTGCTTTGAAGCGCCAGGCTTCTCATGTTCCTGAGACCTTCTCCTGTGCTCTGTGCCCAGCCAGGTTCTGGCAGCAAGCTCAAAGTACCGTTCTTTTATGTGTCCTGATGTTGTGGGTTGTTTTCTGTGCTTTTGAAGGAAATAGTTCTTTATTGAAACTCTAGTGCAATATAAAGCAGAATGAATGGCATTTCTCTTAAGGCATTGCTCTCTTTTGTAACCTTAGGCTTTTAATAAGTTTCCAAGCAGGGTTTGGTGGGGGTGGCTGCGGACAGACAGACAGACAGACAGATCTCTCTATCTGCACAGATGTCACGCCTTGGTCAGCTACGCCTGTCCCAGTTTGCTTTGCAGATTCGTCTTAATGGTTTCTTTCTGTGGCCTGTGAATGGGAGCTGTTGTGGAGCAGGGCTGGCGAAGGAAGGAAGGAAGGAAGGATGCCGCCCGTGTGACGGGCTCGGGGAGCCTGCGGGGCCGCTCCTTCCCTGCAGCAGCCTCGGTTGGCGTCCCGTGATCTCCGGACACCGAGTGCAGCGGGAGCGCCCGGGGTGCTCCGTGGGTGCCGCTCCTGCCCGGCGCCAGTGGGAAGTACCGGGGGGAACGGCTCCCGTCCGCTGTCCGGGGCTGGGAAACACCGGCAAGGGACTGGGAAAGGGGGTACCCCGCTCTGGGATCGGGAATTACCGGGGCGCTCAGAGAACGGGCCCATCCTCTCCAGTGTCTGGGAATTTCGGATAGGGGTCAGGGAACGAGCATCCCCGGTGTGGGGCTGGGAGTTACCGGGAGGGATCCGGGAACGAGCATCCCCGGTGTGGGGCTGGGAGTTACCGGGAGGGATCCGGGAACGAGCATCCCCGGTGTGGGGCTGGGAGTTACCGGGAAGGCTCCGGGAGCGCTCTCCCCCCCGGTCAGGGGGCTGGGGATCACCGTGTCTCTCGGGGCGCGGGCCCACCCCGTGTGCCGGCGCTGTTCCCACCCCCGGCCCCGCTCGGCCCGCCCGGCCCCCGCGGCGGACGCGGCCCCGGCTGCGGCTGCCACGTCCCGGGGCGGGCGGGCGGCGCGGCCAATGGCGGGCGCGGCCGGGGCGGGGCGGGCCGGGGCCTGCGCCGGGCCTGGCGCGAGGGGCGCGGCCCCGGCGGCACAGACAGCGCGGCTGCGGACCGGGACGCACCATGTGCGGTGAGCACCGGCCCGGGGGCGCCGCGGGGCCCGGCCCGGCCCCGGCCCGGCGGGAGGAGCCGCCGGGGCGGGCGCGGTGAGGCCGCGGCCGGGCGGGGACGCGGGCACGGCCGGCCCGGCTGAGGGGAGCGCGGCCCGGCCCCGTTATCCCGAGTGCGGCGGGCGGCTCGCTCCCTGCCGGGGGTTTAAAGGGCCGATTGCCGGCGGAGCGTGGGGACAAAGGGCCGCTGTGCCCGGGGACACGGGGGGATCCCGGCGGGCAGGGCAGGGCCGGGGAAGGGGCGCTCCGGGGCCGCTCCAGCCGCGGCTCCGCTGCTGTCGGGGGCGCCGCTCCCACCCGGTGCCGGGGGTGGTTTTAGGCGTTGCTGCTCCGGTAATTTGCGCTCCGCAGGCCGGTCCGGGCTGGCCCGGCGTGGCACGGAGGGGTCCGGCCTGGCCCGGCTGTGCCGGACCGTGCCCGAGCTCGGCCCGAGCCGGAGCCGGTCTGGTCCTGGTCCTGGTCCTGGTCCTGGTCCTGGTTCTCCTCTCCTTCCACTCCGCTCCCCATGGCAGTGCAGCCACCCTGCCCATCCTTCACGCACAGGAATGTCATTTATCCTTCTCTTGTCTCTTCCTGGTTTTCCATGGAAATTTATGCAACAGCACTCTCTTGGATTTTCCCTATTTTCTTTCCACTCTACCTTCTTTTTTCTTTTTTCCTTTCCCTGTATCTTTGTGTGCAAAATTACGCTCTCAGCGGGACTGTGCGTTTTACACTTAATGTGCAAGTTGCCATTTCTCTCATTGTTTTTGTGGGATGGAACCGGCGTTGCCTTCAAGCTGTCAGGCTGTGGAGAATCAGTCAGGGACTCATACCTCAGCTCACACTTAACACCGTGTTAATTCGTGTTTGAAAGTACAAAGCGGAGCAAAGCTAAGAATAGAAAGGATAATTATTATTATAAATAGTCTACTGCAAGAATAGGGGTGGTTTTGGTGCCTCGTGCTTGCTGTATTTGGGGTTTGGCCTTTGAAATGTGCAATATTTACATTCTGCTCTTTGTCTTTTCTGCCGTGAAACGCCGGGCTGTGCTCAGGATTTGAGGCGTTTCCCCACTTTTGGATACAAGTGAAATTCTTCCTGGATATTGATACATTTTATGGGAAGAGTGAGAAAAGCACCGGGGATTATTGTCTCTGAGGGTTGCTCTGGGTTGTATCCTGAATCCTGATTCCCCAGGCAGCTGCAGAGCCTCAAGCACAGCATTTCTGTCATGGAGTTGTGGCTGGGGATGGACAAACCTGGCTCTATCCTGCCTTCAGAGTTTTATCCCATTCACACAGAAAGGTTAAGATGGGTTTTAAAAGAGATAAATGTGACAATGGTGCTGTTGTTACCTGAGTTCTCAGGCACCTCAGTCTGTGACACTGAAGGGATTCCAGCCTCCAGACTGGAATTATCAACACAGTGTTTTCAGCCTCACGTTCAGGTTTGTGACCTTAAAAATATGATGGGCTGGTGCTGCTGGACAGGCGAAGGAAAGGAGCCTCCAAGTGCCTGCTGTGGGCACTGTTTGGGTGTGCTGGGGTTTGTTTCTAACAGAGAAAAGCTGGCTTTGTCCTTGGCTGTGTGTCACACACCTGCAGTGTGAGCACCTGGCCAGGTGTGAGCTGGGTGTGCTTTGCTCTGAGAGTTCAATGGCATCTGAGAGACACTTCAGGAAACTGGTTTTTCCAGGGCTGTTCTGTAAATCAGTAAGCCTGTCATCTGCCACGGCTGGATTTAATGAGCAAAGGGGACGGCAGAGTTCAGGTCTGGGTCTGGGGTGGCAGAATTCGGGTCAGGAGTGGCAGAAAAAGGGCAGAAAAAGGGATGTTCTGGGCCTCCAGGAGCTCCTCCAGCAGGGCTGAGCTGCAGTTTTGGGATGAAGGATCCCTTGGAATTGCCTGGTGGATGTACTGATAACAAGGTCCATGGAAATGAGTGAACAGTAATAGGAAAAGGAATTTGGGAGTCAAGCCAGCCTGAGGGCATTTCTGCTCTTGTAGGGAAAGGATTGCAAGAAGCAATTCCTTCAAGTATCTCAGTCATTTACCTGCGAGGGGTAAAGGCATTTCATTGGCCTGGGAATGTGAAATTAAGGAACCTGAGCTCCAAAAAAGTTCACGAGGAAGATAAAGTTCTCAGAAGAAGTATTGTGGCTGTCAGCTGTAGAAATCAATAATGCCCATTTGTTGGGAATGTTATTCTGTTAAAATGACCTACTCTTTATAGGGAATTCTTTACATAGGATTTGTGCCTGAGTGTTAAAAATCAGTGAGAGACCTGAGTGTCAGAACAGCTGAATGCCTGTTCTGGTGGTTCCCCAGGTGAGGTGTTCAAGGCAAACCAGCAAGAAAGGAAATGCTTTACATTCTAAATTATATTGTTCAAGGGATTTCACTGGAGAGAACTTATTTCTGTGCATCTCAGTGTGATTCAAGAGCTGCCTGATGAGCTGACATGCTTTGGGCTGCTCTTTCCAGTCCACACATTTAAAGTCCTGTGTGCCCCATGCCCAGTTCCAGAGGTGTGCCAGTGCCCCTTTCCCTATTCCAGAGCTGTCCCAGTGCCCGTTTCCCATTTCAGAGCTGTCCCAGTGCCCGTTTCCCAGTTCCAGAGGTGTCCCAGTGCTCCTTTCCCAGTTCCAGAGCTGTCCCAGTGCTCCTTTCCCAGTTCCAGGGGTGTCCCAGTGCTCCTTTCCCAGTTCCAGAGTTGTCCCAGTGCCCGTTTCCCAGTTCCAGGGGTGTCCCAGTGCCCGTTTCCCAGTTCCAGAGGTGTCCCAGTGCCCGTTTCCCAGTTCCAGGGGTGTCCCAGTGCTCCTTTCCCAGTTCCAGAGGTGTGCCAGTGCTCCTTTCCCAGTTCCAGAGGTGTGCCAGTGCTCCTTTCCCAGTTCCAGGGGTGTCCCAGTGCTCCTTTCCCAGTTCCAGGGGTGTCCCAGTGCTCCTTTCCCAGTTCCAGGGGTGTCCCAGTGCTCCTTTCCCAGTTCCAGAGCTGTCCCAGTGCCCCTTTCCCAGTTCCAGAGGTGTCCCAGTGCCCGTTTCCCAGTTCCAGAGGTGTCCCCGTGCTCCTTTCCCAGTTCCAGAGGTGTCCCAGTGCTCCTTTCCCAGTTCCAGAGCTGTCCCACTGCCCCTTTCCCAGTTCCAGAGCTGTCCCAGTGCCCGTTTCCCAGTTCCAGAGCTGTCCCAGTGCTCCTTTCCCAGTTCCAGGGGTGTCCCAGTGCCCCTTTCCCAGTTCCAGAGGTGTCCCAGTGCCCGTTTCCCAGTTCCAGAGCTGTCCCAGTGCCCCTTTCCCAGTTCCAGAGCTGTCCCAGTGCTCCTTTCCCAGTTCCAGGGGTGTCCCAGTGCTCCTTTCCCAGTTCCAGGGGTGTCCCAGTGCTCCTTTCCCAGTTCCAGAGGTGTCCCAGTGCTCCTTTCCCAGTTCCAGAGTTGTCCCAGTGCCCGTTTCCCAGTTCCAGGGGTGTCCCAGTGCCCGTTTCCCAGTTCCAGAGGTGTCCCAGTGCCCGTTTCCCAGTTCCAGGGGTGTCCCAGTGCTCCTTTCCCAGTTCCAGAGGTGTGCCAGTGCTCCTTTCCCAGTTCCAGAGCTGTCCCAGTGCTCCTTTCCCAGTTCCAGGGGTGTCCCAGTGCTCCTTTCCCAGTTCCAGAGGTGTCCCAGTGCTCCTTTCCCAGTTCCAGAGCTGTCCCAGTGCCCCTTTCCCAGTTCCAGGGGTGTCCCAGTGCCCGTTTCCCAGTTCCAGAGGTGTCCCCGTGCTCCTTTCCCAGTTCCAGAGGTGTCCCAGTGCTCCTTTCCCAGTTCCAGAGCTGTCCCACTGCCCCTTTCCCAGTTCCAGAGCTGTCCCAGTGCCCGTTTCCCAGTTCCAGAGCTGTCCCAGTGCTCCTTTCCCAGTTCCAGGGGTGTCCCAGTGCCCCTTTCCCAGTTCCAGAGGTGTGCCAGTGCTCCTTTCCCAGTTCCAGAGGTGTCCCAGTGCCCCTTTCCCAGTTCCAGAG